GGATCTGCGCCGCCCGGACATTGAGTGACAGTAGGGAGCAGGAAGGGTTTATAGGGTTCGTAGGGTTTTTAGGCTTTATAGGGTTTATAGGATTTATAGGGTTCGTAGGGTTTACAGGGTTTATGGTTTTCATAGGGTTTGTAGGGTTTATAGGGTTTATGGGTTTTATAGGGTTTGTAGGGTTTATAGGGTTCATAGGGTTCATTGGGTTCATAGGGTTTAGGGTTGAAGTCACCTAAAGCCCTTGACGACTTAGCTGTAAAGCCTTATGTGCTTTTGGGTTTGCTCGGGGTTATATTAGTTTGGGCTTCGTGTTTCGTCGGGGAGTACCGGACCCAGATTGGAAACATTCCGAACTGACCCCTCAGAACTGTTGCCGAACCTTGATTTCAGGATTCAGGGTTGGTGTTTACGGACTTGGGTGTGCGTCAATCAAGGGATTAAGACTTCACTAGAGGTTCCCCTTAGTATACTCCTAGTACGGGCCTTAGTCTTTCTACCTTAAGGATCTGTAAAAAGGGTCCGCACAAAATCAAGGGTACAACCTTAATTAAGGGTCCAAGGTACAACCCCTAGAATCAAATGTAGCCGATGTAGCCTTGCTGGCTCAATCGGAAGAGAATGGATCTCTCATGTTTGTCGTGCAGCCCTGTGCTGGTGGCCAGTACCCAAGGGCGGTGTTTGTGTAGGTCCACTCGGTCCAGTACTTCTTGTACTGGTATGTGTATTTGATTTTTTTATGGTTTGAAAGACGTTGTTGCTCCGATTCGGATGCTTCCATTTTGAGCCTATTTTGGACTAGTGTCTGTTGTGGATATCACTCCAGCCAAGGCATGGCTATCCACGCAACTCACGTAAGTGTGTGGGTTCTTGATTTGGGTACATGTTGCTTCCTTTGTAGTTTCAGGCCACCTGGTTCAAACTGATCAGCAAGAGCAACAACAACGACAACAACAACACCACCATAAAATCGACTTTTCGATGCTTTTTTACAAAGCGACAAAAGCACAACAGTTCCAGACATACTCCACCTCTTCTGTTGCGATGCATGTGTGTATGTTGAACTTGCCGTACTGCTGGAACCGGTGTTTGTCGCCAGCTCCTGTCAGGATGTCAACGACTTCAAGATCAAATGAGGAGGTGTTCACAGGATCCGACCTTCAAACCGTTACCGCCCCAGCGGTTAAAACAACGAGAGAGTTTGTGGCAACATGTGCTCGGGTTCGCGCCCAACTGCAGCAGTAGCCTGTGCAAGACGTCTGCTGTGGTAAGCGATGCCAGACGGCGGTCGAGTGATTCTGAGCCCTCGCTGACTTTTGGCATCATTGATCACTTGTTCCTGACTTGCTTGTCCTTGTGTTGTTTGCATTATGCCGCCCAAGCAGAAGATATTGGACTCCACGACATCGAACAGCCAGGTAAGTAAGCACAATACCTCAATGAGCATGATGAATCATTCGGTGTGTTTCTCAGGGTCTGCAAGAGACAGGGACAAAGTGGAAAGACGAACTTGACCCACGACCATGCAAGGGCCACAAAGAAGGCCTGATTGGAGCAGTCGTGTTCATGGCAGCAAACGTGTCGTCGCCCAATCAAAAGCCCATGGAGACTTTGCAGGTCTGGAAAGAAAGACAAAGGTGGAAAAAACGGACTGAAGCGTGGTTTTGCTGTCGTAGCTACCCTGAGTCTCCTGAACTGCTGCCGCTTGTGGCAAAAGGTGCTTGCAGTTTTGCAGCCCCGGGCAAGTAGCGTGGAACTCAGTCCAAGCAGCGCATTGACCCAAACTCACCTCGCGCGATATCACGTTGCAACGCGCAGCAGGCAAAGCTTGCCAGGACATGTGGGCTGAGATGGATGAGATGGACGAGTGCTACAATAGCCCGGATCCCGTTGTGTGGACTTTATGCCTTATGCCAGATAGTGCCAGATAGTCACGGAAGCCCACACAAAATCATTCCGTCAGCGCTAGATACGTGCGTCGTCTGTGTAAACAGAGTGTAGTTTGTAACCTTTCAAGCCGTAGCGAGCAAGTTCATGCTCCAGCCCGCCCACACAATGGAACAGGCTGTTTGCCCAATGCCGCGCAAGCACCTCAATGATCGTCAGCGTTTGAATTCTGAATGCACCAGTCACCAGCGCATCCGTGGTCCATTTGGAAGAGTTCAAGCTGCAGTGTGGCGTCTGCAAGCTCCCAGGCTCCTGCGTCGAGCTTGGAGTAAATCCGAGCAGACTCACGAATCCACATGAATCCACTTCCCGTCCGGAGCAGGTGGGGACCTCTGCGTCTGCAAGCTCCCAGGCTCCTGTGTCGAGCTTGTAAATCCGAGCAGACTCACGTGAATCCACATGAATCCACTTTCCGTCCGGAGCAGGCAGTGACCTCTGCATCTGCAAGCTCCCAGGCTCCTGTGTCGAGCTTGTAAATCCGAGCAGACTCATGAATCCACATGAATCCACTTCCCGTCCAGAGCAGGGAGGGACTTCCTGGACGGCTTCCCAGAGTCAGGCCTGTGTCGAACTTGGAGAAAGTTATAATTAGCAAGTTGCACCATCTTCACAAACTGGCGCACCCAGCGTAGGTGGTGACAGACACCGCCGACAGCCGCGCTGCCGTGTTGCGACAAAATGCATAAACACAGATCGTATCCTCAATCACCTGCAGGTGACTCCGGTGATGAACTCCTCGCCATGGCGTTGGCCGAGGTTTTCAAGGCCTCACTACTTCTGAGTAACTGATTTCATGAAGGCTTCTGGCACCTTCAAAGTAGCTTTACGCCTGCTTTTTGTTGGAACGCTGCCTCAGGACGACAACAAATGAAGACAAAGAGGAGGAACGAGAGGCACATGTTTGTGCCTCAGCACGCTGGTGCTCGGTTGGTCTTGCGCGCGTGTTGGCAGGCTGCTGACCTGTCCCCAAGAGGCAGGTATGGCATGCACGCTTGGCGTTTAGCAAGGGTTAGATGTGCAAGTTTCGCTCTTCGAACACTTGCAGGTTGTAGCGGCAACTGTTCCCTTAGTTGTGTTCTCGTGCGGCGTCGGGCAGGATAATGCAAACATCATCTTCGCCAACGCAGGTAGGCTTCCAAGAGCATGTTGCAAGGGTACATTACTGATTGTCTGCACGCAGAGAGAGGGACTTAGGCCAAGTGTGCGTGGCACATTGGCGCGTGACTCCTGAGCCATGTAGTGACGCCCGGACGCGACCCCCGTAACATCCTATATGTTAAGTTGTTTCCATATTGCCGTTGATCGAAGTTTCCGGCTGTTCCGTTTCAACTCTTTGCCCAACCCCCACCTACACCCTGCACCGGTGCGGCATGTGCCCCGGAACAAGCCAAAAAGTCCTCACCCTGAACGGGTGTCAATCTCAGCTTGGCTGAGCATGGCACCAGGCAGCAAGCCACTAGGGTGCTTGCGGCGAAAAGGTGTGAGGGGCGTGAGGGAGCACGGCGCATTTGCTGGAGGCGCAGGGCTTGTCAGTTAGTGGCCCAGTGTTGACTCCGAGGAGGTCCAGCCAGAGGATGCCATAGCACTCTTATAGGACCTTGTGGAGTGGATGTGTTTGCAGGTGCTAGATACGATATAGACTGCTAGGCCTTGCAGCGCACTTGTTGTGAACTCGAGCTCATATCCGGATCAAGCCGTGCACTGCTTGCCAGCACGCATTTCCTGAACATCGATTTTGGACACACGCATCAGCGCTTGGTGTTCTCTAGCCTTTGCGGTGCGCTCTTCTGCAGCATGCCGTTCAATTCCTGTGATCTTGAACGCATTCCCAAGCACCGAAGCTTGGCTGAGCATCCCCTCCTGCTGGAAGTTTGGCCAGGAGATTGCCGAGGTTTCAAAGTTTAAACCTTTCAGAAAGATTATGTACAGCAAGTTGCTTCAGTTGGCATCCTCACCGTAGCAATTCTTGTATCAAATTGTGATGCGTTTTCAAGTTGCATATCTCGTCTGCGGAGCCAGGTGGTGGATCCTGTTGCTTGCTGTGTTTCCTCAAGGGATGGCTCAGCTTAACAACACAGAGACACCAGCTCCTATTCGTAGAGTCTGGCGGCCCATGGTTCAAGTTTGAGTGTTGTTCGGCCATGCATTGGGGGCTTTGGTGGATGGGCCGCGGGATGAAGGAAAACATACGTTTCCGCCCATGCCGCTCCAAACCTTTGCTTTTCTTACGGTGTGTTTTGGCCTTTATAAGCGGGAGAAGAGGGAGACAATAAGAGGCCTGCAGTCAAACGCGGCAAGCCACGATGCGGGGAAACTTACAGGCATCACAGCACTACATGGGCTTCAGTGAGACACGAGAGCTTTGGGGAACGTACGGAAGTTCAGAGTTTGTATGCGTGGCGATGCCGCTAAGTGCAGCACGCATTGCCAGGATCAAGAGGATGACTGATGACTGCGAAGACTTCGAAAACGAAGTCCGGATCTCGAAGTGTGAGAATCACCGCCATTTCTTAAAGATGCAACATACTGAAATATAGAGGGGAATTATCTTCATAGCTGCAGAACAACACACTCTGCTCGCAAAAGTCGGGACAATCATGCTAACAGAAAGCAACACGTTCTCGAAAGGCTGTGACGCAGTCACCCAGCCAGCTCCCTGTACCTACATATCAGTCCTTAACATCTCACAAAAGTAGCCACGAAGTGGTTGTTGACCTTCTGATGAAGGTTGTAGCGGCCCCAAGTTTCTCATCAGAGGATGGACAATTTTGCAAAGTTTCGCAGTTGGAGGCGCCTGCGCAAGCCAGAATGGCGCCGCTGCAGGCCGGAGTTGCTTCTTAGTACACGGTACGTATAGGTTGATTCTGCATCAAATGCTCATTAACACGCAGTTCGAATTACATGAAAGCATTGGTCAGGTAGGGTCAGAGAAGAGTTGAATAGTAGCGAGGTCCCAATTGAACCGCACTGGACGAGGCACTAGTCAAAACCTATTGTGGTGCATTATGTGTGTCGATATGGCTTGCAACTTTCTTCGTGACATTCTCCCTGTATCAGAAGCAAGACAGCTCATGTACTTCGTCATGGGACATGAAAAGCTCGTGGCAGGAAATGAGAATCTTTCGAAGGGTACGAGTGACGACTTGCTTCTGCTTGCCAGAAAGATTTCTGCCCACAACTGAGTCAACTAGGTCAGTTGCACACATGTTTGCAGTGTGGTGACTGGCAAGTACTGGACTTGCTGACGTGCTAGCTTTTGCGCCCACGAGGTGAACTAGGTCAATTGCACACATGTTCGCAGTGTGGTGAGTGGCAAGTGCTGGATTTGCTGACGTGCTAGCTTTTGCGCCCACAACCAGGTCAACTAGGTCAGTTGCACGCATGTTCGCAGTGTGGTGAGTGGCAAGTACTGGACTTGCTGACGTGCTAGCTTTTGCGCCCACAACTAGGTGAACTAGGTTAGTTGCGCACATGTTTGCAATGTGGTGAGTGGCAAGTGCTGGACTTGCTGACGTGCTAGCTTTTGCGCCCACAATTGGGTCAACTAGGTCAGTTGCGCACATGTTCGCAGTGTGGTGAGTGGCAAATGCTGGACTTGCTGACGTGCTAGCTTTTGCGCCCGCAACTAGGTGAACTAGGTCAGTTGCACACATGTTCGCAATGTGGTGAGTGGCAAGTACTGGACTTGCTGACGTGCTAGCTTTTGCGCCCACAACGAGGTGAAGTAGGTCAATTGCACATATGTTCGCAGTGTGGCGAGTGGCAAGTGCTGGATTTGCTGACGTGCTAGCTTTTGCGCCCACAACCAGGTCAACTAGGTCAGTTGCACTCATGTTTGCAATGTGGTGAGTGGCAAGTGCTGGACTTGCTGACGTGCTAGCTTTTGCGCCCACAACCAGGTCAACTAGGTCAGTTGCACACATGTTCGCAGTGTGGTGAGTGGCAAGTACTGGACTTGCTGACGTGCTAGCTTTTGCGCCCACAACTAGGCGAACTAGGTCAGTTGCACACATGTTTGCAATGTGGTGAGTGGCAAGTGCTGGACTTGCTGACGTGCTAGCTTTTGCGCCCACAACGAGGTGAACTAGGATCGGTTGCGCGCATGTTTGCAGTGTGGCGAGTGGAGAGTACTGGACTTGCTGATGTGCCGCCGCCGCCGCCGCCCCCGCCCGTGAAGCCTAGAAACTTGGCAAACTACCTCCTCCGCTTCAAAAGCTTCTGGTTTGGTTGACGCAACAGAACACCTTTGCTTTTTGTTGTTGTTCCTTTGCTGTTGCTGTTGCTGTTGCTGTTGCTGTTGCTGTTGCTGTTGCTGTTGCTGTCATGCCGGAGCCGATCGGCCAGAGCGGTGGCGCCACGGAAAAGAAGCTTTTGTACCAAAGGCAGACCAAGGCCGGGCATGCAGAACCTACAAGAGCGGATCTTAGCTTAGCTTCCCGATGACAGGAGCTGGGAAGCATCGTCATGAAGTACAAGGAGGCGAAGGACACAAAGCCTTGTTCTTCACACAGCACAGGCGGGTTGCGGATGACGTGGTGAGTAAGCGATCGACTGAAGCAGAGCGTGAGTGCTAGACTCGCTAGACTATATATAGAGTGCAAAATGGAGTAGCAGAGTGAGAAATGCCACTGTGATGCTGTTGGTGCCCCCCCCCCCTCCCCCAAAAATATAATAAACAGGGTTTGAATGGACAAACGCTTAGGGTTATATCGCTACCCACTTGCCCCTCAGCTCTGTTTTTTCCTAACCTTGGACACTTATTTAGTTCTATGTTCTTTCGCCACCTGTTGCATTTCCTAAGCCCATTTCCCCGATAATTCCCGCCGAGTTTTTCAATTTTTTATCCACAGAATTTTTTTACCACCTTATTTATTTTTCATAAGTTACCACCTTATCCATTCTCCTACAGGGTTTCTACAGCTAATCTATCTCATTCATTCCGCTCATCCTACAAATAACAATATTCCCAAAATTTAATCTATCCACCTTATGCATTCCTATATTCTTGAAGTCTTTCCTATATCATTGTTTGAATGTTTGTTCTTGTTATGATTTATAACAAAAATAGACCTAATTTCTTCCCCATTCCACCCCCTCATTCATTTCAATCTTTTCCCAACTTCTTAACCTTCTGGGGCTTCCCATGTTATAGTTAGTCCTGTTGACGTAGGTTTTGATGTTCATTTCGTTATTTCTAAATGTCTCCGTCTTTCTTCTTCTTGTTCAGATTGTCGTTGTTTGAGATATTCGTCTCGTTCTTTTTCGGTTAGGTCTCTATTTATATCCAAAGATTTTGGCTTTCTGGTTGACATTTTTTCGCTTATTTTTTCAAGCTCCTTAAACAATATGTCTCGTTTCTTTTGGTCTTTTTCGTTTTTAAACTTGTCTGAGACTGCTGTAAACTCTTCATTTAACTTATGCCCTTTGCTGTTTAGATGTCTGTTGAAATGTTCTTTTCTGTAAAGGGCTGTTCCATTGTATATCCTGCAGACCTCACACTCTACAAATCTACACAGTGGCTCTTTCATTTTAGCTTACTATACTATGGCTTCAAGTCTTTAAGTCTTTTTGTGTCAGTATATTTCTTGTCTCAGATCATTCCCAACGCCAAGCGCTGTCATGGTTTTTCGGTGCTTCAGTTATGTTAAAATCAATCTCGTCTAACCGTTCTGAACTACACATATAACGATTTCCACGCTTTTGAATGTGTAAAATGTTGTCATAGTTATTCAATAACCTATGCTTACAATTTTTTGGTTTGACTTCATCCGTCTCATCGGCATCCCCATAGAAGATAAACCCTACGCCTTGAATCCCAATCAGGGTAGTATAGGGGCCTGAATAATTAATCGGAATGGGGTTTTGGGGGGTTTATTCTAGTATGATTACGGAGGGACGAGAAGGGAATATTGTTGGTAATTATTCCGACCCAAAATTACCCAGTTACCTACTCTATGCTCATGAGAACCACCCCAAAGTGCTTATAAGAACCACCCCAAAGTATGTGTTCTTCCTTGTAAGGGCAACCCAATCCCTAAACTCTAAACGCTCAGCAGCCCCGGGCTTGAGAGGATAGGGGAAACCATGGTTTGGGGTTTAGGGTTTAGGGTTTTAGAGTTTTGGGGTTTAGGGCTTATAAGGTTTATAAACCTTAAAAGGTTTAGGGTTTAGGGTTTAGGGTTTAGGGTTTAGTGGCTTCCGAGCGAGTCGGCACCAGGAGGAGCACCGAGCCTGAGATGTGACCAGTGCTCACAGCGGATGAGCTTGCAAGCTTTATTAAAGGCTCTGTGTGCATGACGACGCCGCTCAGTGCAACAGGTGCTGCCGGGACCAAGATGCTGGCTCCGAAGCATGAAACAGCGACGCCCGGATCAGGCACCTACTGGAGTTCCATGTTTGCTTGGGTAGTTTTTAGGGATAGCTACTTTACTGTAGACACATTGAGAAGTAAGCTCACTGTGTTCAAGCAAGGCGCTTGAGTGTTTCAAAGTCAAGGTTGTGTTTTCGACATCAGGAGCCGAGGAAAGTGGAAAAGCGTGTGCTGTGCCGCGTCGGGATCAAATTGCCCTTCTCCGCTTCACACAGCAATGAAAAGCACTACACCCACACTCTATGCACACCCTGACGACAAGCAATGGGATGCTGCAACTCCCAGGGCGCCACGAGGTATGCATTCCCCCCAGCTGATATTTGGTCCTACGGGTCATGCTGGCATGGTCTCCTTGCAAAAGGCATCCACTCAAATTTGCCAGGCGCACAGCTTTCGAACTGGCCCGAGGATGACCGCTGTTTGAGTGGGGCGGCCTCCATGAGCTGGCCCGGTGGATTAAAGCAGCCGATTGAGAATCAGTAGCAGTGGAGAATGTGGAGCCAACGTGGGGGGATTAGATGATCCTGTTTGTGAAGGTACATCATCTAGAGGGCTCGAAGATCAATCTTCGCAGCGTGCCGGACGCGGCAACATACTGGGCAATGCAGGGCTTTGTCGGCCAAGGATTGGAGCTTGAGCTGTCGCTACAGGACAGGGCGCAGCACAACCGTTTGCTTCTGGCGTGACGAAGAAACACAGAATCCACACACGCAAGGCAATTCCTGTGCAGGAGATGCCGTTTGCAACTTCCACAGCAAATGGTACAGCAGCGGCATCGCGTTTGAAGGATATGCCGGCTGCAACTTGCCCATTGCCAGCCGTGACAGCACAGCAACAGCGACAAGCTCAATTGAAATTCGCTGCAGCGACCTCAGATGTCACATGTAACCTGCAACGTCTCCTGTTTATGAAATGGCTTGTCGAAAGCTGGCGACCGACATGGGTCAGGGCCACTGCGGCGAAAACTGCCGACAGTGTCCTTGGCATCTCCTCGTCTCATCGCCGTGGCTGTCACCATATGCGGCCACCCTATTGGAGGCAAAGGACTCCGATAGCCCTAGCAAGTGACAAGTACCGCAGATGAGATGAAAGCTTTGGGCCCACAGAATTTTTGCAATACGGCGCATGATCGAGGCTTTCACAAGAAGAGCTCCTTGTCTAGGATGATAAACCTCGTGAAGCCTCCATCACAAGAAGTCAAGGATCCGTTGCCTGCTGTCAGCATATGTCACGGCAGTCACGCAGCTTTAAATGCAGCATCATGTTAGCGTGGCCGTAATTAGTGTCGGGATCCCTATAGTAATCTCTGAAAGAAGCTGCCCACCACAGACACAAAGACATTTTTGGACGCTTGCACCGTACTCATCCCCAACGCCGGATCCGAAACTGAGTTGTGAAGATTGTTTGCAAGATGTACGGCTGGAGAGAAAGGCGATATTTCGTAGAAGATCTATCTCTCCAGACGGCCCGACCTGAAGGTAATGTCACTTCAGGTCCCGTTGAATCTTGGCCGAGAGACTCTTGAAAGACACTCTTGGCCTAAATGCCCGCGCGGAGGTCAGATACTACTTGCTTTCCAAAGATCAGGAACCTGTGAAGCCACACAGGTCGTGCATGTTGCCCTAATTAATCTTGCATCTCGTATTGGCCATGCCGAATCCACCTAGGCCTCAGTCCTGGAGGGGGCGCACCTTTTACATTCCGACACATGCTGATGATGAGAACTTGATCAAGCGCGCAGTTCAAACAAGCAGGTTGCCCTGAACGTAGTTTCGCTTCGGCCATTCACGGCCCTTTCCGGGGCCAAGCGCGAATCCTTATTCGCTCCCTTGACCCAAGCTCCCTACTTGCAACTCCCTAAAACCCTAAACCCTAAACCCCAAGCCCGAAACCCTAAACCCTAAACCCTAAACCCTAAACCCTAAATTCCCTAAACCCAAAACCCTAACCCTAAACCCTAACCCACCTTGCACTCCCAGGGCCGGGGGGATCGCGGGGCCGCATGCCACCGTCATGCCACCCAGGCTCAACGCAGCAGGGCTCGGACTTCGTTGGCGCCGCGCCGCCGCGCTTCTCTGCGAGGCCACTGAGCGTTTGGGGGTTTAGGGTTTAGGGTTTATATAGGGATTAGGGTCTAGGGTTTAAAGGGTTGAAAGGGTCTAAAGGGTCGAAAGGGTTTAAAGGGTTTCAAGGGTTTGGGGTTTAGGGTTTAGGGTTTAGGAGGGTTTGGGGGCTTCCGCGCTGTAGGGCTGAGGTTTTTCGGGTTTTAGGGTTTTTTCCGTGCGGTTTGGCAACCCCAAACGAGGGTTTATGGTCCATCAGCCTCGGTCGGAACAAGTACTAATCGTACTCCCTCATGGTCCCCATGTAAACCAACTGAAATAACTCCCCCAAAAGCCTATTCTTATTCTTAAGGCCCCTTGTATTATGTGAACACAGGAGCTCATGATGTTACAGGCCGATCCTCAGCTGATCAGGTTCTAGTGAGGTTCCTGTCTGCGCTCGAACCACAGGCATACTTCATTGTATACGCTTCATTGCGAGTTGCACGGAGGCTGTTTTTTGTTCTGTTCAAAGCTGGTTGGTTATAGCTGGTTTGTAATGTTCGTGCGAAAATTCTGCAAAGGTTTGCAAGCGTACGAC